TAGCACTAAAATAGTTCCAATAGTATAGTGTCTACATTGATTTAGTAAATTGTTGGTTGCTAGAGGAAACGCTACTCAGTAGAAAAAATAGAGTTGTTTTCTATTTACACAACTAAAATGTTTACTAAAATCATCACTGAAATAATTATTAAATAGTATGTCCACATTGTTCAAGTATATAAAAATTAGGTAGTATCATGCTTTAGTGACTCGACCGAGTAATATCCTAGTGTAAATCGAGCATAATATACTACAATATTTAATGAAAAATTAAAGTTCTGTTTATTAAATTATTTATACATTATAATTTATGAAATATATCTAAAACATGTTTTGTTAAAATAGGGACTAAAGGTATTGTAAGCACACCCTGAAATAAAGATCTGCGCACGCCTATAATAGTTACATATTAATATGTAAGATTAATAAAGATTAAAAATAAATATTTTAAATAATGTTTATAGTGAATTAAAAATGAACTATCAATAAAAATTTAATATTTATGAATAATTAATATTTTTTCAAATATTTATTAAATATCAGTGGTAGTTATAAGTGGGGGGGGCGATAGTTGGATCGGCCCTCCCCCCTTGGTCCGTGTTTTTTTATAATAAATTATTGAAAGAAGTATTAATTTTGTGTGTTACTAATTTATAGCATATCAGCAATTTGTAAAGTTGTCTTGTGCAATATATTACGATATATTTTTAAATAATTGTAGTACATTTTATTAATTTTTATTATTATAGCATATGTACGTAGGTACTACGTAATATTTTATTCGGAACGTCACGCGTCGTTGTTTATATATGTACCTATATATATATATATATATATATATATATATATATATATATAAAAATGCTAGGAATAATCTCAATAATGTAATGGATTTCCCATTTTGATATTACGTTAATTTAAATATAAATCTAAAAATATAATAAACGCTGTTTACTCGTATTATGGACTATGGTATATTGACTTTGTGTATACAACCCATTATACGTGTGTCTGCGCTTGCTTGTTTATGTTCTTTATTTCTACGTTCTCTGTATTTATATTTCATACAGTGCAGCTATAATATTATTATTATTACGTATAATAACTTGTTTAAACATGTCGTCAAATAATAATAATCGTTTAACTAGTTATTTTGGAAATGTTCAGAAAAAATGTAAATTACAATCTAATGAAGACAGTATCTATACACGAGTCAGAAACAAATTCAATCTCAAATCAACATATACGAATTGTTCTGATACAAGTGAGTTAATTAATCCAATAGAAATTGAAAAACTTCATGATATTGAATTAGGTATGGGACATTTCTTAACTCTAACTAACGCTATAAATGATTATTCGAAATCAGTCATCCTTCAACGAAGTAATGTTCCTAGTGATGATTTTCAATTCATACTAAAAAAGGTAAATCGGAAAAATCACTTTGAAAAGTTTCCATACATTGAGTTTTCAAAAATCAAGTCCGGTTTATTTTGTAAGGTCTGTGTTTTATTTTCAACTTCAACCAAAGGGGATATGCATAAAACAGAGCAATTAAAAAGCATGGTTACTGAACCAGTAATTAAATTTGCAAAGCTATTAGGAAAAGATGATATTTTAGAATTATACAATAATAATGGTTATTATAAAGGTAATACACAACGAGCTAATGACTTTTTGAATAACTAAAATCATCCTGAAAAAGAAGTTATCAATTTAGTAAATGATCAACGTAAAAAAAAAAAAATATTAGATAACCGTGAACGATTACGATCAATAATAAAAACGATTGTTTTCATATGCCAGCAAAATATACCGTTGCGTGGTCATTTGATCAAGAAAACTTTAAAGAACATCTTAAGTTTCGAATTGATACTGGTCACCATTTACTTAAAAATAATTTGAAAAATACTGGTGAAAGAGCTACTTATATAAGTAAATTAACGCAAAATTAAATAATCGAGTGTTGCAAACTAGAAATATTACATTTAATACTTTTAGAAGTAAAAGAAGCAAAATATTTTAGTATTCTATTTGATGAGACCACAGACTTATCTAACATTTCTCAAATGTGTTTAATTATTCGGTATATTTTACACGGAAAATCATATGAACGATTTTTAACATTTATTGATTGTCATACCTATGTTTATAATAAACGAAAACACCAACAATTAGATGTTAATTTGGAAGACGATGATGAACCTCAAGAAATATTAAATAATTAATTAGAACCTAAATAAACTGGAGAACTTTTGGGAAATACAGTCGTAAAACTATTGCAAGAATTAGAATTAGATTACTGTGTAGGCATTGGGACCGATTGCTGTTCCGTTGTGGTATCTGCAGTCCACGGCGCTGTCCGACGAATTAAAAAAATTGCTAAAAATGCAATACATAGTCCTTGCTCAAATTATGCCTTGAATTTAAGTATTTCGAAATAGTCTTCTATACAATCAATTCGCAACTGTGTTGGGGTAATAAAAGAAGTTGCTTCTTTTTTTCATGTATCTGCCAAACGTAATTATGTTCTTCAACAACATTTGATTAATTATAGAAAATTACATAATTTATGCGAAACACGATGGATAGAAAGCCATGGTAGTGTATTGCATTTTAAGGAATCAATAATTGAAATTATTGACACTTTAAATGAAATATCTGAATGGCAGGATAATATTTCTTCTTCGAAAGCTAAAATATCTGCTATTTGTAATTGTGATTATATTTTTTCTCTTTTTTCATTATCAAATTTATTAGCTGTTAATTTTCCGATAAGTAAAATTTTAAAAGGTAAAGATCAAGATATTATTGCTGCATCTGAATGTATTAAAGATGTATACTTAATACTCGGAAAAATCATGAAAAATGTGTAGAAAAAAAATCTATATGTAAGGAGTGTGAATTAATTCTAAACAAACTTGATGTTGATATAAAACTGCCCAGGATTATAGCACATCAAAAACATAGAGTTAATGCTATATCATCAAACAACCCTGTTGATTATTATAGAATTAATATTTATATTCCTCTATTGGATAATGTATTAGAAGATTTTCATTTCCTATTCTTAAACAAGGAAAATTCAAATAAAAAATTATAGAATAACTAAAGATTACATATACTTTCAAAATGTTTTCCAGCAAGCCATAGAGAATGAAATAAATGTGCTTAACTAAATGGCTTAGGGTTCAAACGGAAGATAAAATATATTTTAATATAACTAACTGATAATTCAATTAATTTAAATGTATTTTTTTAGGAAAATTATTCCAGTTAATGGGTTGGATGCTCTAAGTATGTGTCCAGAATCTATATTTCCAAATATACATAAAATGTTGATTATTATTTGTTCACTACCAATCAATGTTACGACAGCAGAACGCAGTTTCTCAACACTCAGAAGGTAGGTACATAACTTACTATAAGTTTACATTTAAATTTTAGTATCCATTACTCATATAATATCATATAACTTTACTTAATATAAATTAATATTAAAAAAAAAATTATTCACATAATACTGTTATTAACTAGGTATTTGTTAAGTAGCCAAATCATTATTTTATTAGTATTGTTATACATTTTTAAATTTTTTTTTTCTAATTATTAGGCTGAAAATATGGTTAAGGTCACAATTGGCAAAGAAAGGTTGAATGGGCTAGCATTACTCCACATTTATAAAGATATTCCTAAAGATATAGAAAATATTATTGCACGTTTTGTTAAACAAAAGAAAGACATATGCTTTTATTGTAGATTATTATTATTACAATGGTTGATTAATTGTGCTTCTGTGACTATACTTTTTATTATTATTTTTATTTAATTGTAAATACAAGGTTAACCTATTTTGGATAATTTCATAATATACTATGTATAGTAAAAATGTTTGTTCTATTTGAAATATTTGTATTATTTCAAAATATTGAAGAAAAATTATGGGCTCTCCGACAACTAATTATTGTTCTGTTTTTTATAATTCCCCCCCCCCCCCCCATTAAAAGTTAGTTATAACCGCCATTGTTAATTATTCAATAAATATATCTGTGCTGTGTGGGTTGACACTATAAAATCGATTCCATAATCTTTGGGAGCAGTCAATTTTGTTGAACAGTCCACTAGGTCACTAATATACACATTTGGTCGTGGTAGAAGTTTAAAAACATACTTTTTTTTTGTTTTCGATCAGATATTCATATTCAATAAAACAACATATTCGAAATTTGTAATACGCAGTTTCAATCGAGATATTTTAGTTTTTTGTCTGGACAGAAACCTCAATATTGATGACAGTTACAATATATCGGGACGGATGGCAACCCTAATCTTGCTTTAATTATGATTTTGAATGGTATGTTGAATACCTAATCAAACGTACTTTAACCAGTATTTAATAAACTAAATACACAGAGTAAATCACTTGACAGAAATGTCCATTCTTCAAATTATGTTCAACAAAAAAGCAAAAGATGAATTTGATGTTAAAAAATACCTAAAATTTATAATTTATTATGGAAACACATAAAAATATAAGAGAAATTAATAATATCTGTTTTTTAAATACATTAAGTAATACAACGAATAACAGATAAATCAATTCCAAATTGTTTTACGCACTATATTTTATTTAGTTATTTCTTTAAATTTCACATAAGTAAATTCATTAAAAATAAATTATATATCAATTTAAACTCTATCATAAAACATATTAGCAACATAATAGCTGATAACGATCTGTACAAAATTACAAAGCAATAATATCTATTGTCAAGCTTACGTAAAATCGTAACCTTTATGCGTGTGTGTCGATAATCTTTTTCTACCTTTGTTCAATATCAGCTGTTTCTTCTACCCACTGAATTATGTAATAATATTATAGTTATTATATAGTTCAATGCTTCTACCCAATCACAATCATGGAGGTGAATACAAAAAATTTCTGACAATGATAATACACTTTGATAAGAACAAAAAGTCTACCAACAATTTGTGTGTGTGTGTGTGTGTGTGTGTGTGTGTAATTGTGTAATTGTGTAATGTGTCTCCATCTTCAGCGAATGACGATGATGTTGAGTTCAACAATTTAAAAACTTGATGAGTAATTTTTTTACGTTTTTTAATTCTACGCTTCGGTGTATGGCGTTATTAATTAACTTTGATTATTCGTGTTAAATAGTCTACGAAACACTAACGCTTAAATGGCTTCATCAAGCTCATCATCACCATTGGAAGACTTGGAAACCCAGTTGGAAATGTTTGTTGAAAACGTACGTCAAATACGCATTATAGTGGCTGATTTTCAACCTCAAGGGCAGACGGTATTAAATCAAAAAATGTATGTACAATTTTTCTTTAATGTATTGATGACATTTTCGACATTAATATTAAAGTGATTGCTAATTTTTTTTTATAATTTATATGAAATCCAGACAAAATGCTGTCACCGGTTTACAAGAAATTAATAAGTTAAAATCCAATATCCAGGATATACATGTACCTTTAGAAGTATTTGAGTGAGTATAATATTTATATTTTTCTCATATACATTTTAACAACATTCACTGTGTAATACACATTTAAAAGCAATTATGCAAACAAAAGTACTTCAGTTGTTTGGTTTAATTGTTTTATTGGTTTATAATTAAATATACAATTGAGTTAATACTCTTTGTTGTATTAGTTAAATATTATATCCATACTTAACGTTTTCGCTAAAATAATTTTTAAATATTAAATTACAGTTAACTAATTTTGGAAAATGTTTTGTAAATTATTTTATTAAAACATGCTATCTTTATGTAGTTAATAACATAATAGTATTCATTTTGTTCATGTACCTATAAATTAGTTCTGTTACTAATTTTCTTTTATTTTTTAGGTACATTGATAGAGGACGTAATCCTCAGCTTTATACTAAAGATTGTATAGAAAAAGCTTTACATAAAAATGAACAGGTCAAAGGAAAAATTGATGCCTTAAAAAAATTCAAGGCAAATGTATTAGCTGATTTAGGACAAACATTCCCTAATGAACTAAATAAATACAGAGCACTGCGAAGCAATTGTTATGGTACTAGCAGCGTTGCAGCACCACCACCGCCACCACCTTTGAACATGTTATCATCAGTCTCTTCATTAGGAGGACCAAATCCACAACAGCAACAGCAGCAGAACTTATTAGGAGGATCAAATTTGTCAATTCAACAACAGCAGCAATTAAACAATGCATCTTCTGCAGTAACTGCTGCGTCTTCATGTTTGAACAACTCTCAACAGCAGCCCAATAATCCAAATATTTCATCATTATTAGGTTGTGATGGTGTTTCTACTGTATCTGCAAGTAGTAATAGCAACAATATTGGGGGCCCTCAAGGCACTCAGTAATCAGTTTTTTGTATATCTTAAGCTATAATGTATGTATATAAATAATATAATTTATAAAAAATAATATCTCATTTTAATTTGTGTTTATTATTGGATAGTTTTTCAATTAAAATGTTTTCTAAGTCATTTTATGCAATGAAGTGATAATTAATAATACCATAATATAATGTCTATTATTTTCTAAATTATTCAAAATAATATAGTAAAATCAATAAATACGTAAAATTCTTCTTTTTTTTAAAAAAAATAATAGATAACGAGCAATGGAGTTGAGTGAAAAAAATGTTAGACAGGTATAAAACTGATTTTTTAGCAATTAATTTACATCTTAAAATGCCAATTAAGTTCATGTTGACAGCTTTCACCTCAATGTCCATTTCGAATAATTGACAATGCTATTAATTCATCCACCTGTTTACTTTCGACGTATAAGATGTTTACTGTGTGGGTTCGATTAAAATTAGTCTAAATGCATTCTCTTGAATAACGTATCAATGTAATTCTTTGCGAGTAACGCAACAAAACAATTAATTTACTTTTTGTTTATGATTTATCGTATGTAATAGAGTTTATTCAGATTACAATATAAATTACATTCATTATACATAGCGGAAATTTGTGTAAACAAATTGCGAATTACATAAACAACTCGAATGTTAACAAATTGTTTTAAAAAAGAATGAGAGATGGCGTTGTTAGCAACGATTTGTGTCAATCGGTTCCTGTAACACGACATTGACACGAATCGTAACGCAACGATACGCTCCTTAACGGTCCGCTGTGCTGTAGCGATTACCGATATTGTGTTGTACGTACACGTGCGTGATAAGCCGTGGTGTTAAGAAATATTGTGAAAACTTCAAATTTCGCGGAATTACGACTGTTTTACGATCGAATTAATGAAATGTAAAGTATTTAAATTTACAATCACGCTCGCATTAGGCCCGTTGTCAGTATATGTGCGTTATGACAAGACTGTGAGAACGGAAAAATGGATAAATTCGTGAAACACGTCAAGAGACCGTGGAACGGTAGCTACGAAAAACCATCTGCATCGTCCTCAAAATTTAAAGACATTCCGGATTTCTACTTTCCAGACAGCAGCCGATCTAATGGCTCAAACAACATTATCTCCAACGACGATATGATGGATCATCCGATTGTGCCCGAAACCCCTCAGAAATCGTGTGAACCAGATTCGGCGACAATGACTTTTCCTGAAATGACTGATTACTGGACAAGTATGTGCCGATATAATAACGTTAATTTTAGGGCCCAAATTTAATGCCACAAAAATTTACATTAAATTATAAGTGGACGGAAATGTTTAATCAATAATGCCTTAAGCCTACAAAAGTATAGGAACTCGTATATTTTTATTTTTTTTTTTATTTATTTTGCTATAATTATCAGAATTTAATCAATCAACATAACATTTCTTAATACCTACCTAAATACGACAATAATTTTAACTTATTTAATATTAATTTATGTATGAATATTATTTTATTCCATCTTCGATAAATAACTCGTTACTATATTTGGGTGGTCAGATCAAATTAAAAGAAATCCAAGACAATGAATTCTAACTTAACCTAATCGTCCTATCTAACCATAACTACTTAATATTTTTATCTTAACATTTTTTACTTGTGGATTTTATTATGAAATATTAAACACTAAATATTAAAATTATAGTAATAGAAAATATACTTTAATTTCAACAAAAACTAATTTTAAAATTTTAAATACAATTTACATATTTTTGTACTTCATAGTGACAGGCAACATTTTTTAACCTTTATCTTCTGCTGTCATTGTGTATTTTTGCGTGTTGTGGACGTTATTCAGAAACGAGTGATTTTTTATAATTTTGTCGTAAAATTTCATGCAACATAAACCATATGTTTTGATAAACAACTTTCTACAGTTGCCACATCCATTTGATTACGAACGTCGGTCCAAGTAGAAAGTCATCAATGAAAACACTCGTTCTATTGATGCATTTAAACCTGGCAATAATAATAATAATAATTTAAAAAATAAGTTAAATTCAGAAACATTATTATGTTGATAGCTAAACCTGATAACAACGGTCTCAAAAAATTTTTCGGGACATCGGGGCATAAGTTTCTAAACCGGTAACGTCCCGGAAAATCCGGAATGAATGGCCACCCTTAACTATATATTTAGACAGCTATGGCAACACTTACTTTTTAGAACTGTTAACTTGGTATAACAGGATTATTGTTGATGATGTGAACTCATAAACTATTTACTTTGATTAATATTTGAAATGTTCACTATCATTTTATTCTATCAAAAACTCCTAATATTTAAATAGATTACGTGCATACACAAAATATTAATAGATTATTAAAAGTATTTGCTTAGTATGAACTAGCTCAGCAGTTCCAAACATTTTTATAAACCTCCATCACTTACATATTTTGAAATTTTTACATACCTCTTATATAAAAAGCTTTTTTTTATCAAAAAATAAAAATATATGTATAATTTAGCTATCGATAACTTTTTATTATTATAATTGCATAATAATTATTAAAATATAAACTTTTATGCATATAAGTTAAATATATATAGTTACTTTTATTATTATTTATAATGATAAATAATGATTATCAATGATTATCAAAAATTGAACGAAATGGTTGAAGTTATATTTAATGAACAAGGACGTTAATTTCAAATAAACCAAATAAGTAATATTAAATGTTAATAATAATCATGGGTGCATTAAAGAGGAAGTAAAAGGGACATTTGCCCCTAGTGCAAGATTTTAAGAGGTGCCGAGGTCGATAACAAATTGAGAACCGCTGAACCGGCTCATAAGTATAAATACAAAAATTTGTTCATTTTCCTTAGAATAATGAAATTCTTTTAATTCATATATATTTTTTTTTTTAATCGACTTCCTGAGCAGGTTTGTTTTTATTTTTGATAGATCTATTGAATATTTTATAACTAATGTATACTTATTATATTTTGAAACTCTCACTAAACTAATAAAAACAATATTATAAATAGAATACTAAAAAGTAATTTCTAACTAATGACTATATATAATAACACAAATTTTAGTGTAGAACCAATCAAATTTCAAGCGTCAAGTAGCAATTTAGATGCCAGGTAAATAAATAATAGCTTATAAGTACCAACACAAACAATGATAATTAAAATATATAATAAAATAAAAAAACACTATTAAATGGTTAATACTCATTAATTTTAATTAATTAATATAGAAATAAACAATCAAATGCGTAACCTGGAGTATTTTTATACGTGTATTGTATGACTGGTTGTAAACTAAAAATTCATTATCAGATATACAGTCAATAAATTGTGATGATTATATATGTACAATTATATTTATATGTTTCTATAAATACAATTCAATAGCGTCAATACTGAATACGTAATTTTCAATGATAATTGTTCAGTTGACGCCGGCTGTTATCGTGGAAAAATAATAAAACAAACTAAATAATTTAATATTTCTAAATCTAAACTGATTTAACACTAAATAAAACATTTAGAATTAAAAATAAATTGAATTTCTCAGTGAAATAGTATGATGAACAATTCATATAAATTGAGTAGAATAAAATGATATGTATTAATTTGTGTTCCCTTCGTACATTTTTTGTTTAATATTCTAATATAGAAAGTTTTGAAAGTTTTTTTTTTTACTAAATTGTAAAATTAGAAAAAACAATTTCATATAGTGCAGTCGAGTCACTGCAAGGATAAAAAATAATTTAAAAAAGTTTAATTTATAAATATATAAATATTAATATATATTTCGAATGCCAAGTGACCATAATATAAAATTACAGTTACGCGGATCAGCAGTAAATTATTGTATTATTAAATTAATAAAATTTAAAGCAAGTTCCAAGAGCACTGAGAAATATCTGGAACCGATCCGTTTGTTCTTCATGTTTTTTTTTATTTTTATAAGCAGAAAGAACAGGAAAGCCAGATCACATATATGTCACTAGACGTCTATTATTTGATGATGAAATAAATACTGATGACCAAGGGAAAAAACGCAAAGATATGGTAATCAATAGTATGGACACTACCAGCGAAGAAATGATTACTCTTTTTGAAAAAAAAGGTAAATGGATTCTGTATCAATAAACATACTACAAACTACTGTTGTTGATTAGCTCAGTTATTGTTACTCTTCTGGAAGAGACTTAATCTTTAAAATATTATTTATGCAACATTTTAAAATCTAACAGTCTGTAAGAAGTACATTAATTTTTCCTGTAAAGTCGTATTAAATAGTCTAGTGTTTTCTAACTTTTTGGATACGCACTGTTTAACACTTTTTTCGTGACTGGACGACCTAAAAAACAATACAACTTCTCTATACCACAGTACTTTTTTTAACATTTGTGATAAATTAATATTGAACTTCAAGTAACTGGTAAAACGCGAATTGTATTTAACATTTTTGTCCGAATTTTTTAGATGACATCAGTGGCGGTGGCGGCGGCGGCGAAAAACTCTCGTTTTCGCAGCATCGTGGAATCCATATCGGGTCGCGGGTTCGTCGTGACCAAAGTGCTCGATCGGCCATCGCAGTCATGCTGTTCCAATACCGGCACTGAAGAAGAGGACAGCGTCAGCGTGTTCGAATGCGTGTCGGTACTCGAGGGCATCGTTTACTGCGTACTTGCCTCGGCCACGGCGCACCGCGACAAGAGCGCCTCAGCCACCATGGCCGCGGCCAGAACGTTGTCGGCCGTCGGCCCGCACCCGAACATCGTTGCGTTCCACTCGAGCTGGTCGGACGGGCGTTTCCATTACGTGCAAACAGAAATGTGCCGGGATAACCTTTGGTCGTCGCCGTCAGGTCCGTTGAAAGGCGCGGCCGATTGCCGTACGGTACTGGAGCACGTGGCGTGCGCGCTGCACTATCTGCACGACTGCAAGGGGTACGCTCACAACCAGGTGAACGGCGAGAACGTGTACCCCGTGGCCGACGGCGACCATGTCGTTTACAAGCTGGGCGGCTTCGACGGAGCGACACGGCTGTCGCACGTGGACGCGGCCCGCGCGTCGTTCGCCGACGTCAAGTCGCTGTGCTCCACCGTGTCGCTGCTAGTGGAGGGATGCGGTGATGGTGACGAAGACCTGCTGTCACTGCGGTCGTACCTATCATACGTCATCCGGAAAATCGACTCCGTGAGCGATGTTGTTGGATGGACGGCCGCGGCCGATGTGAACGCGTTTGCCGTGTGGCGGTGGTGCTGCGCGGCTCGGCAACAACAAGGGCAGCGATCTCAGCAATTGATGATGCCGGTGGTGTATGGAAATAGCTGTAGAGAGAACGACGGTGGACCGATGGATACAGCCGAAGCTATACCCGCGACGTTCAGCGACGGGGCTCCGCAGCAGGCAAGCTCGTGGAGTGCGTAGGCCGGTTTAAAAATGTATCCGAAGAAAAGCACCGGACATGACAGTACAAAAGTAAAAAAAAAAATACTTATGATTGTTAAAAAGGTTAAATTTTTATTTCAAGTTGATGTTTTATGTTTTATTTTATTATGCAGTTACTTTCCGTTTTACTAGTTATAAGAAACATTTGATTGACATGAAAAGTATACAGAAGTATAATTGCTTTAAATTTTTTTTTCATGTAGAAACGAGTTAGTTCCTGTTACGATATTTTTTTTTATTGTTGAATGATGTAGTGGATGTGTTTTTATTTCAGTTATCCACTTGTTGATTTTTATAGTTCTTTTTTACATTTTCTTGTATTTTATAAATCATTTATTTTTTAATCTTATGTAGCAACAGAATCTTGCATACTTATTCTATGAATTATTATATTAATATCCAAGTTCTCTGAGTAATCCAACTTAGCATTGATGTATTAGTTGTTAATAAAAATTGTTTTTATTTTATTTTTTGTGTTTTCTAACATTTTTATTGTTTTATCCCAATAAAAATAATTTTACAGCTGATTAATACATTTGAAATATTAACATTCAGGTAGGTCACGACCATATATTATAACTAAAATGAAATTGGTCAGAACACTTAAAGGTAATTAAAATTTTACTTAATTTTGAGACACTTCATCATTTAAATTAATAATTAGTAAGTCTATGTACATTTGTGAACGTTTAACTTCCTATTCATTTTTCTTAGACAATATTTGTTTATTTGATTGAATTAAATTTTTATTTTGGAAAATAAATATAAAATATTTATCATTATTTTCTATGGAAATAGCCTATGCTACATAGAAATATATTATTTTTTATATTTTTAAAAACTAACTTTTTAAATTATTTCACAAAAATGTTTAAATATCCTCTACAAATTGAAACTAGATGTAAGACTGAATAGTTAATAATAAATGTAATTAACCCATATCTGAGTAATAATTATAATTTTAAATGAATACGAAAAATGTCATAACATTTTTAAAAAAACCCTATTTCTTTCTTCATATTTTAGCATACTTTAAACAATTTGAAATTTTCTAAATCATAATTATTATGACTCATAAGAATGGTTACACAATTATAAAATACTTTAAAATAATGGTTAATTTAATTTATTAATTTCTATTATCTTAAATTATTGTATTGAATTTTTTTTATATATATAGATTCTGTAACAAAAAGAATTATACGAGAAAAAACTATAAGTATAATAATAATATAAAAATAAATACATATGAATATAAATATATATGCGGTTTAAATTTCATTTTACTGATAGATGGATGATAGATGGTGGCTAAAATTATGTTGAATAAACATTTTTTGTTTCAAGTTGTTTAATATTCAAATAAGATTAAAGTTGTAATCTATATACAGCTGTGCAACAGAAGAGTAGGCATAAAAATGTATGCAATAGATTAACAGTGGTGAATGAGTACACGTGAGATATTAAATGAGATACACCACCTTAAATTGGTTTTGAATTTTTTAATAATGCGTTATTTTTTAGGCGAGTTGTAGAGAATAAAAGGAATGTTTCTGGTGTATTGGGGAGGGGGTGGGGTGGTGAAGATTATATGCAAAAAAAATTGATGATAATTATAATATCAGTAATTAGAATAATAATAATAATAATCATAATAATAATAAAGAACAAACCACGACTGATGCTGCTATTACATAATTAATAATTATAAGTAATAATAAAATATATAATATGTATATGTACACAAATTAAACGCAATTAAAAAAAAAAAAAAAAATCGAGTAATAAATAGTATCTGACGGAAAAAGGTAGGGGTGAACTGGCAGCAGGCATGCCGCCAATGGCACTCTTCTCCTTTTGTAATTTACATAATATGGATCCAAAAACTTTATACCCCAGCAATGAATTTTGTTTTTAATTAGTAGTTGTATATATATTATATATCATCTATTTCTGTCTGTGGCTCGGTTCTTCATCATCAGCGACGATAGTTGTCCACATGCAATTTGCAATGTTTCCGACGCCACCGCCTTATCATTAACAGCAACCGCCTGACCCACCTGAAGCGTCTGACGATGGTTTTGAATCAATTGTCACTTTACCAACACCATCAGCTGAGCCTCCTGGTCCTTGACCATCTTGTGGTCCAATGCGATTCTTTATTTCTGCAGCCATGGTCAAAAAAGCCAATTCTACATTTGTTGCTTGTTTTGCAGATGTTTCCAGGAATGGTATTTTCAGATGGTCGGCATATTCCTGTTTGGAAATACAAAACAATATATAATGTTAACCCAAATTATATATTTTAACATAAGACAATAATTTGTTAAATAATCATGATTCCTTAATTGAAAGAAAAATCTGAGTATATGAAATATGTTAACTCTGTGTGGCTGAGTATACACATATATTTAGATTGCCCATAAACAATAAATATAATTATATATATAGAAAAGTCTCAGCATACCTATTTTTCCAGAGATTTAATGTATAAAAAAAATAGATAAATATTTTGATCGATTTATAATATGCATATTTATTTATAATGCATAATTTATACTTAAATTGTATACTCCATCAATATTTTTTTTTAATTTCAACTATATCCTATTGTAACAATCGTTACATGGTTATTATTTTATACATATAATATGTATATTGGCTGAGTAGAAATTACGTTTCAATTAAGGCATGTATTATATATCACTATTATTAGTCCGATAGCTAATGCCGAATATGTATGAAAAGGCATTTTGGTCATGACGACCATCCAGTGTAGGTATGCTGAATTCCTTTTTGTTTTGATGTAGAAATGCATATACATAAGTTATTTTATGTATTAAACCGTAATAATTATCTGAACTAATCTGTATTTGTTTGTAAAATTAAGATAATTAAGATCCTTACTTTTTATGCTCCTGAACTACAGTAAAAAATGAATTCAAAAGGACTAGAAAACCTTCCTAGAATATCCTATATTATACTAGATACCTTGATCATGTTACACTATCTCTTAAAAGAATTCCAATAGAATTTCTACACTTATTAATATTTATTTTTATAAATAAAAAGAGCCCTGTCCCTTTATCTTCTAACTTAAAATTCGCTTAGAGTTATACTACTGATAAAAATCAAAATTTAAGAATTTTGTCATAACAATTCTAAAAAAAAATAAATATATTGAAACTAATTTGAATTATATTAATTTAAATCTATTTTATTTTAACAAAAAAAAAAACAAACATTTACTTTTGGTGAACCTTTTTAATATAGTAGTAGGCAATAGAAAAAGTCTGAATTATCCTAAAAAAATTAAAACTAGCCATAATGTATAACCTTAATATTATCAAAATTAATCAAAACTTTACATTTGATGTAATTTTATTTTAATTACATAACTAGAATTTTGTTCATAAATAGGTAGCTCTAATAAAAATACAAAACTAAATTAAGATTTACTAACCTTAGCCGTTGCTTCATCTACAGCACGTTTGTCATGCAAATCACACTTGTTGCCCACCAGTAATTTGTTGACATTGTCACATGCATACCTAGCTATTTCTTCTAACCACTGTTTCAGATTAGTGAATGTCTCCATATCGGTACAATCATACACTACAATGATACCATGCGCTCCTCGATAGTATGAAGATGTTATAGTACGGAAGCGTTCTTGTCCAGCAGTATCCCACTGTGAAAATTAAACCGATGAATAAACAATATTTTTCATCAATTAGTAAATGTTGTTTTTAATCTAATTGATGAATTGGATTTTGTTTAGTTCATCATGTATAAATTAAATGTTATGATAAATACACACTAAAAATTTCAAATTTATCGAATTAAAACATAAATAATTATTTGGATTATCTAGCCAATAACAAGTCTATAAATTAATTTTATAAGTTTTAATACCAGTTATTTAATATATATGACAATAATCAAGGTATTACAATATTTAATCAGAAGTATATATCAAAAATAGATTTTTTTTCCCAAGATTGTAGACAGTTTCACCATACATTATAAATTATACACATATTAATTTAATAAATTCATTATTTTATCAAGTTATGATTGTGAAATTTTTTTGTCATACATATAGACATAAATTTGTGTTTTATTAATCACAATACTTATTATTATGTTTAAAATGTTAAAAAGCATACAATACTTACAATTTGTAGTTTTACAGTCTTGTTATCCAGCTTGATGGTTCGGATTTTCTAAATATGTAACAATTAATTTGATATTATCATGAATACACATAAAATTACTATTAAGTGTGTAATAAGAAATCAAAAAATATGTTTGTAAATTTCAAGTTCCATAAAACTATTTTTATATTCACCATTGTTTAGTGATATGAATAAAAATAACTTAATGATAAGATAATGAAATATCAAAATGAGATTATGTACAAATATACTTAATCTCATGTACGAATATACTTATACATAATATACAAGCATACATTATACATATCTATATATATAACGTACATGTGTGTGTGTGTGTGTGTGAGTGTGTATAAATTCGATTTATGAACATTGCATAGCAAATAATGCATAATTAACTATCACGATTAAAAACTTACGAAATCCACGCCGATCGTACTTATATACGAGTCGGTATACGTGTCGTCGGCGAATCGCAACAACAAGCAAGATTTGCCAACGCCCGAATCACCGATCAGTAGCAGCTTGAACAAATAATCGCTGAAAATATGAACGCAAATATATTAGCAAAACTAAAAATGCAATTGGAAAGTGAAACGCATAGGAATGGACGCACGGAGACATCTGGGTCGTTCGTTTTTTTTTTTTATAACATTCATTAATACTGAGTGAATTGTAAGTAACTCGATAATACTTACTAATCCGGACTCATTTTGTAGTGTTCGGTTGAGATTGCTTTTACTACTTAGGGGCGTACGTTTCGATTCGACGGCGATCGACGTATGTGATAACGACGACGAACAACTACACTAATGCTGGCGCGATGATGACGAAGACTACGTAACGCGACTATTGTCTTGCACGTTGGTCGCAGTCGATTTTCCCGTGCGCTACTTACGTGCTACAACTGTGTTTTGCGTCGTAGCTGGGCGTAAAACGGGCACGAATCGTGGAATTTGCGCCGCGAACACACGGAAAATCGAGGTATGGGAATGCAAAAAATGCGATGTGGGCTAAAGCGCAATTGCAACGACAGCGGCGGCGGCGGTGACTAGACGTAGTAGTACAGTACTGCGGTGTTGATTTTTTCTTTTTTTTTTCCCTTTCTGATAAAACGTCGATGATACAGCGTGACACGGCGGCAGATGGGGCCCGGAAACACAATAACGCTACAAGGGCGGGTCGTAGTAGTGACGGAGGCGGTGGTAGTGGTGGTGGAGAGAATAGAACGGAGCGACCGATCGTCGAACAGTGACGGTAGAACAAATATGGCCGACGGTGAGACGGCTTTCTCGTCGTCGCGTACACATAATCACCCTGCGCGCGCGACGTATACCGTACCGCTCCACACCCCCCTCCAAGGACCGACCGACACCTTCGCCGCTCCGCACGCATCGGTCCACAACAGTCACGGCGCACGTATGTGCAACGTCATCGCTGACTGGCAGCCGTTGGAGGCATTGGACGCGTGTGCGTCGTTGCGCGTGCGTATGTTCGCGCTATGGAGGTAATAATGCGAATGTTGTTATTATTATTATTATTACTAATGCGAAATGGAAGCTGAAAAACCGAAAAGTGCTCCGTACCGGCGCACCAACGCCGATTAGTCATCGCGGATCGACGTTCGAATATATGCATACTGTGTTCACTATGTAATAGCTTAGAGCTTCCAACTAAAAGCAATTATGATCGTTACAGCGGAATACTAAAGACGGGTATACAGAGGATCTGATCTACGATTACCAATCCCGGTAGGCTTCTCGCAACGTGTTCTGACAACTCTGTTGCTTTTCGTTCTCGAATTCGGAGTGGTTCAGTCGGTTTCGATCGTGTGACCGCCGTTGAAATTAGGGGCGGATTTAGGTATGTGGTGGCCCCTGGGTGGAATGCATTGTGGGAGCCCTTTACACATAAACAAGAAAATATATTTTTTTACTTATTAAAATAAGTTGATGCATTTTGCAATTAACTACTTATTTAATAATAAATAATTATAAAAACAATCAAATTGAGTATAACATAAGCAATATCATCATAATATTAGGTGTAAGTAATTAAATAAAGAATAATAAAAATAAAAATATCAAGTAATTAAAATTAAATGCCTGGAACTTTTCTTAATTTAATTTGTACAAACTTATCAATAACGTTTTGAAAATCAAGTTTTCTTAAAATATCAGACTCAGAGCTCATTATCGCTAGTTGATTGAACTTGTCTCTGTCCATAGAAGTACGCAATCTATTTTTTTATGTACTTTAAATTAGAGAATGATCTTTCACTACTGCTGTTTGTAGTCATAAAAACAAGATAAATACGAAGAACTGTTTCAACATTAGGAAAACTATCTTTTACTTTCTTATCAATTTATATTTTATACATTAAATTTTCTTGACTAATATTGTGAAATTCACTGCTTTCATCTTTAAAATGTTTATAAAATTCTTTGAAGTGAATAAGTTCATTTCCAAAGTATTCATCGATGTCATCTTGGTAAATTTTAACAAGTTTAATTGCTTCATTTTCAATTTCTTGATTACTTAGTTGTTCTATTTTTGGAGAAAGCCAAATCATTGATATACTAATTCATAAACAGACAATCATTCATCCAAGTTAGAAATAAACGTATCAATTACAGGTAAAAAATTTTGAATTTTGAAGTTTTGAGAAGAATTTAAATCTACCCCTAGTGTTTCATAAGAATCTATTGGATTTAAGCGGATATTCCTTTGTCATTTACGATGTTTCAAATAATATATATATTATTAAAAGTAATATTTATTCTTCATATAGTAATTGTTAAACTTTGAACTAACCTCAGAAAAAGATGTTGTGTTAGGGTGTGTTATGAAAAACTATCATTCGCCTAGTTTTTGAAATTATTTCTGTATTTTTTTTTATCTTTTTCTTTTGCCAATTTACGTTTATCTGCACCACTCATATAAAATCGCTTTAATTTATGATGATCTTCTTCCATTTTTAAATTATAACACTATTCATTAGTTAATAACTTATAATATAAGAAACAACTAGACTACTGGAGTTTGTAACCATTGTAGGTATACACAACCAATATTAACAAATGTCTTACTTGCAATAAGTGCAACGAATAAATAACGATAATATACCTATAGACGGATAGTCTGTAATTTGTGTTTTAAGATATTTCCTAAAACTAATCTCATAATTCTGACAGTAAATTATTGTTGTTAATCAACGTGTTTACTACAACATTTTGGTGCATAATTCCAGACCCACATTTGTGTATTTAGAAACACATTCACTAATATTCTTACAATCAATTCTTACAATCGAAGGTGCATACGGACGGCATAAAAACCTATCTTCTCCATTTTTAGACACCGTTCATTATCAATAAACGCGAATACATCTATTAATAGTTGGTAAAATTAAATTTTTGAAATGCCCAAATAAAGTTCAATATTATTTAATTAAATGTGTGTAAATATAAATAAAATATTTTTTCTGTATCCTAATCTATATATAAAATTGGGGGGGCCACTGGGCTGTAGCCAACTCAGCCCTCCCCTAAATCCGGTTCTGGATGAGATTAGATTGCCAAACATGTTTACCGACTGAAAATATGAATTATTATATTATATAAATTTATGTTATTAATAAAATCATAACAACCATTATTCCACAATATTAATGAAAACAATTATTTTATTTTATTTTATTTATTTCAATGAGTTCTTTCTGGGCTCTGGCTTTTATGCCTAATTATGTCCCACATAGAATTAATTTTTTATAACCAGTGGCGTAAATAGAGGAATGCAAGGAATGCGGTTGCGTTAGAGCCTTGAACATAGAGGGGCCTTTCTGACCTTTTAGAGTACTAGTTTATTTTTAATTAGGAAACATTTTTGTGTCGACAATTTAAAAAAGAATTATAATCAATCAAACTATTTTTTTATTAATATATGAGTATCATTTGAATCAATGATTCTAGATTTAGATTTAGATGTATATTTTATAAATAAGGAAAATTTAACCACTTTATTTTAGAATTCAACGATCTCGCTATCGGCTATATAATTTACGTACGTGAATTTGACCCACCCTTTTAACTTGAGATTAACTGGATTAACTTGAGACCTATACCTTATACATATATACGAGTAAAAATCAGTTTTTTAAAAAAATACATAAAATACGTTTTATTTGTTTAAAACAATTATTTTTATGTTTTAAACAGTTTTTAATTGTTATTTTGTTCTTAAGTTTTAAACATTGTTTAAAACAGTTATTTATTTTATTTAAAACTAAGTTTATTAAAATATTTTCCCTAAATGATATTATTACTCTCAGATTTTTAGCCAGAGTACAGTACAGGTGAAAGGTATTATTTTTATAATTATCTAATCACTATACAACAGATTAGATTTAAAACAGTTTTGTATAAAAAGTATCGACAAATAAAAAATTATGATATGATGGTCAACTAACAACTAATAACTAAATATTGAGTAGCCGATAAGAAAACGGGAGATTTAAAAATGTTTACATCTCCCATAGACCTTATACTGAGTCTGTGGTATCTCCAACAGTTTTCTGACAATGTGACCTACTGTTAGTTACTTACATACTTTTGAAATGTTTGAAAATATGAAATAATTGTTTTAAGTCTTAAAAAAAACGTGTTAAACCTTTATGTATTAAATGTTTAATATAGAAGGCCATATTTAAAACGTTTAAAACAAATTATTTAAAACACTTTGTAATCCTGATCACATCTCAATATATATAGGTACCAATCAATAAAAATAGAAAATGTTGAATAGAAAAAAAAATGTAGTGTTCATGGTAAATATTACAATGACCTCTATCAAGAACAAAATTGAAATCACCGAATTTTCCTATATCACCGCTCATCTGTATATTTTAAAATCAATAGTAGTACATAGAAAAGTACAGGCTATATTACTTGTATATATATACAATTTCTATTGCACGAGTACGACGCGGCATGGCAGCTGTATTCAAGCCCTTCTATGTCACCCGCATTATACGTAACAAGAAGAATTATAACTTTAGTTCTTGAAAATATTTTCAATAATATTAATAGATACCATGAACATTTAATTGTAAAAACCATAAGATCTCTCGCTTCACCCAGAATCTTAAAAAAAAGACAATTATTAATATAAATTTTTTATATATTTTTTAAATTTTTTTTAAGGCTTTAACAACTTGAATTATCAATCTAACATTAAATTTTACATAGTATTTTTCTTAAGATTAAATATATTATTTACGTTACAGAGAATTCTTGATTATTGCTAATCAAATGAACGTATACAATTTTAATTATAATGTTGTGGTCGAATGAAAATTGATTTTATATAGATACTATGATTTTTGAATAGCTCTAAAAAATTACCAAAAACCATTGTACCTACCCAGGGCCGTCCCGAAGATGAAAATCAAGGGGGGGGGGATAATATGAAAAATGCCTACTACAATTTTTTTACTCAATTTATATTGTATAATTAACTATATGCAGTCATATTTTTACTTTTTAACATGTATATATGTGTCAGTATCGCACGTTCTTAAAATTGATAGTTTAATTATATATATATATAAATATAATACTAATATTTTATATTGTATAATAAGTAGTTATATACATTTTTTTCGTGTATACACTGTATTACGAAATATGTAATATTTGTTTTCCGTAAGTAAAATTAAGTCTTTCTAGGCTATAATGAAACAAGTCCGACTGCCGACGGATGTTTTCATAGGGTGATGGGGGTATGAGACGCCCCCCTCCAAGACCCCCCTTTCGGGACGGTCCTGCACCTACCTGTTATTTTACTTTTTTAATAACATTTATAAAATAGAATAATAATATCCTTTATTTATATAGTGAATAAATTATCATACAAATATTAAGCTATTTTAAATATGTTTGACCGGGCATTTTCACATTTTCCACTGTTTTTATATAATAAATTTACCTACCTAAACATTATGATTTATGACTTATGAGTATGAAACTTATGGCTTACTCACAAATTTTGAAAATGAACTCGCAAAATATTGGTATAGGTCTCAAGTTAATCCATGAAAAAGGGTGGACCAACTTCACATACGTATATAATTTATCTAATCTGTAGATATCGATATTTGATAGTCTTTTAAAAGAATTGTTTCGTGTTTGGTTCGTAATTTGTTAGGGTACTTTATTTTATATTTGGCTGTTGTACTATAATAAGTTATGCCATCAAAATTTGTCATTGCGTTGC